AAAAACACGAGTGAAACCCCAGATTCTTCAACTTTTTTTTTTTTTTTTTGTATTCTAACCTGTTATGAAAAAAATGATAAAGGTAAAACCACATCCAACTTGTATATACTAATTATGAAATGCCATTATACAGTTTAAAAGACATCTCTGAATTTGCTGATTTAATTTAATAAGAAAATACTTTATTCCTGTTAGCTTCATATCAGCATTTCTGGCAGAGTATTGAAAAAAAAGTACTGTTGCTGTTAATCTATGCTACAGGCTAAATTAATTTAAAAAGAAAGAAATTAATACTTTTATTTAGCAAGGATGCATTAAACTGACAAAAAAAGAGAGAGTAAAGACTTTTTTATTGTTACAAAATAAAATAAAAAATAACCAATCAATAAATACATACAAGCATACATACAAACATAGATAAATAAACGCTGTTCATTTAAACTTAAAATATATTAAAACAGAAAGCCGTCATTTTGAATTGTTATATTTCACATTATTCCTGTTTAACTGTATTTATAATACAAATGCAGCCTTGGTGAGCATACGAGACTTTCAAAAAAAAACTATTCTTACCATCTCCAGACTTAATTGTAGTGTATATTTCTAAAAAAAATAAAAATAAATAAACAAAAAAATTTATTTTAGGTTTTGTAAAATGAGAAATAGCGCAGCTGATATCCCTTAAATCTAACTGCTTAAAATAAAAAGCATCCTCGTAATACTGATGTTTCACTTCTGTCCTTCAGTGTGTAGTTCAAAGGACTCAAAGAAGCCTTTCTTAAAAAGACTGAGGGTGGGGATTTGACTTTTTTGTGTGCTTTTTATCTACCAGTTGTTTGAAAAGTTAAACTGCTAAGAATGTTTTATGAAAGATTAATTTGAAAATGTTAAAACTCCACTGAACTTCATTAAGTCAAACAAGATTCCTTTATTTGTTGCATACAAATCAAACACATAAAGCTGGAATGACCTTTCGTTTCAGTTCAACAAGAGAGCACAAGACAGCAACACATCTCTCAAACCTTTTTAAGTTTTGTATATAATTTTCCCAATGTCTCTGAAGGCAAATAAAATGTACATGGCAAACGGATTATATACAAAGAAGAAAAAATGGAAATATACAGTAATGACATGATAAAAGAATGTTATGATAAAAAAAAAAATGAAAGTATATTTCTATACTAAGGGTCCACCATAACTAACATGCCAACCCCTGTATCAAATCAAACATCAACATAATTCCAATCCACCAATTCCCTAATACAGCTGTTATAAAACATTTTGTTACAAATTGAATGACCTGAGACAGTCTAGGTTCAGTGATTACTAATTATAAACAGTACAGATCGCCATATTCTGTTTCTTTAAGTGATAAGCAAACGACAGCTTTTAGTTAAAATACATTTACCCTGAAAAGTGGTATAGAGTGGAATGGCTGTAACAACCACTGTCACCAACACCTGCATTCGCTCACTATGGTAATAAAACAGCTGATGAGTGACAGACAATTTCTGGAGGAGAAAAAAAAAAAAACGCAGGCTCTTTTTGCATCTGGACAAAATGCAAAGACAGAGTTGAGCCTCACCATGCTGATACCTGAGGTGAGAAAGTGGCTCACAGTGGCCTTTACTGCCATTTCTGTCATTCAAACCTTTATGAGACTGAAAACGTCACTTACTATGTGAAATGGTGAATGAGCTTTTTGAGTTTAAAAACCAAGAGCAAGCATAGAGGGGGTTTCATTGTTGATTATGGGCAGGAGAGACTGTTTTAAGGGCTTTCTAAGAGGGGGTCGTGGGTGATGGAGCAGGGTAGGGAATGAGGATGAGGAAGCTCTGAAACAACAGAGGAAGGCTCGCTCTTAATGGCAGCAGCCTCCACAGTGGCCGCCCCCATGCGCATGTCCCGAGGCCTCGCCGTACTTTGTTCTCCGGCTCAGAATCTCATAGGAGCAGTCTTCTCCACAGCAACCGGACATACTGGGTGACGTTTCGTCAATCTCAAACCTGAAAGAGGACGGCCATTGGTGAAGTCATATTTTAACACCGAATAAGCATAGCAGACACTTGTTGCTATGGCAACTGCTATCATTCAGTGTTTTGTCGATTATAGAGGCCTGTACATAAATCTGTATTCAGAGGAGGAACAGGAATTTCATACAAGTGTTGAATGTGTACGAGTCCAGAACGATGGGACTTACTGTAAAGCATCCCTAAAGAACTGGTAAGCACCATGATTGTGTTTAAATACTGTCAGCATGACCTTTTTCATTTGTGTGCTGAGGAAAGACACAAGGACAAAAAAAAAAAAAAAACGAGCGATTCATGAGTTTTGGCAAAAATGCTACAAAGGAATAAATTCTTGGAATGCTGGGTTTGTTGTGGTACCTGTTTGCGATAAGCTGAAGGATTTGGATGAGAAATTTCCCCAGGCCTTTCCGTCTGACTTTACTCTCCAGCTGAACTTCATAACTGAGGAGACATTATTAGAATCAGTCAGATACAAACAGCAATCTCAATAACACATGATGCCTTCCCACATACACAATGCATGCAATGAAGGACGATAGACAGACATGCACAATATCACAATTCTGGCAGATCTTAATAAGCCAATAGTTTTCACATCAAGGACAATAAATGATAAATTCTATACAATACTACCTAAATTGTAAAAACCCTGAAAACATCATTTTTAATCTTAAGGTGTTATAACATAACAATATACATTATGAAAAATGGATATTCATTTTGAAAAGTTATAAAATTGTTTTTATAGACTAAATGTGTGTTAGATGATGAAAAAAAAAATTGGCGAAATGAGCATGAGGAATTGAATGTCCAATACAAATAAATTTAAAAAAAATTCTAATATCAGTCGGTAAACCAATATGGTACTGAAACATTGTGCATTCCTGACAAATAAATTGATTTTTAATAATCCCCAAAGAGAAATTCATAGCTGTCCTATGTGTTAAGTTATAATTAAAGCACCTTATAAAATATACCATTTACCAATATAAAACCTCATCTCCACACTCCACATCAAATCGAAAGTGGGAAAATGCTACAGGTATGGAGCCAACGTCACGGGCCAGGAGATACCACGCTCTCTCATCCTTCATCTCCTCCCTTTTCTCTCTCTCCTTCCATCCCCACTCACTCTGTTCATATCTGCCAAAACATAATGTAACAAAAAATGTACTTTGTTATAAACTGCACAAATTGAAAGTGCAGAAAGATTTCAGACAGTTCTCATGGAACTATATTTCTTAAAGAGTAAAATGACCAGCTGTACAAAAGTCCTTTAGCTTTAAAGGGACAGTTGACCCAAAATGACAATTCTGTCATCATTTATTTGCCAAGAATGGAATGACATGAGGGTGAGCAAATGATGACAATTTTCATTTTTGGGTGAACTATCCCTTTAATGTTAAGTAACACTAACTGACTTCCATTCAACCCAAAACCTGTATCTGAATGTCCATTGAATACAAAAGCTAACATGTATCCATTAAGAAGCTCGGCAGGAAAAATTAAGACGCCACTAAAACACCAAACATTGACAAATAAAGTATAATAAATGTTTAAGGCAGTAACAATATGGGATGTTGGATTACCCCACATGTTGACTTGCTCAATACCTACAGCGTCTGCATGTTGGCTCTAGTCAACTCATAGGCCCACTCCACTGTATCTGGACTCAATGCAGTTACCCGCTTACATTCAATCTCCAGGTTTATCCTTGTGACAGATTCAGACATTCACAATATTAGTATTGGATATTTAAAAAAAAAAATGAAATGATCTGCCCACCAGTTTACTGGCAGCATATGTCATCCATCAAAGGGGAAACGTAAGGATAGCGTACCCATTTCTGTCATACTTTTTGAACACTGGCAAGGCAGACAGAGGATCTTCAAGCTGTAAAAAGCCATGGGACACATTGTGTTAATATTTCTCTACTGCAAGAACATAAACACTGAAATTTTAAGACAAGTGCACATATTTTGAAAAAGTTTCTTTCAGATGTTCTCAATAAAGCATACCTTATTGGCTGCATCCACCTTAGCACACACCGCATCCATAGCTGCCCGTTCTTCGAGTCTTCGCTGCTTTTTCTCCTTTGCTCTGTTTGATTTTCTCTGAATGGTAATCGAAAGACATTGTCAAATACCATTCCCAGATACAGACTGAAGAAAAGGGTCTGAAACATTTATACTTTATATTACAACTTTAAGTCCTACTCTGGGAAAGAGAGCAGGGTGGTCGGTATAATATGAATATACATACCGTGTATTCTAAAATGAACTGAATCAAGTGAATTGAACCAACGCTGAACTACACTGAGCTGAAAAACGACACTACTGTCTTCTGTAGAGCTGCTTTGAAGATGAAATGGAAGTTATTTCATAACTGATGAATTTTACAACATTGAACCTTATTTTTTGGTTTATTACAGCAAAGCTGCTTTGAACATCTGTAATACATAAAAAAACCTGATGTATTGAGAACCTGGGTTATCCTTTTATCCTGAAGTTTTAGGATTTTGAAAAACTACAGTGTTATGACAAAAAATGAAGAGGAAATGGGTCATTAATCAAACAAACACAAAATGATCTGGAACATCTCAAATCAACTTCAAATCAGAAATGTAACTCGTCTCTCTAATTAGTAAGCTGACAATATAATTAAAAAAAATTTGTTTAAATTAAAAGAATGTCAAATAAAAGCATTTTCACTAGTATGGACCACATTGTAAAAAGCAGTAATTGAATCAAATAAAATCAAATGAGACATAGCACACAAAATTGTGGAATTAAACACTTATTTTACAATATTATTTAACAGTGAATATTTACTAAATATTACCAAATATCATCCAACTAATCATCCCGGTCAATATATACACATCCATTACAAGCAAACAATAATGTTGCCTTCAAAACATTTCACAAACAGATTTATGACTGCATTTGTTTGTGTACATACATGTGACTGCATGGGGGTAGTGACACATCTGTGGACACTTTAAGAAAAGGTATTTATGTAAATCTGAGGGATTAAAACCTGTATTTTTTTATTTGTATTGTGTATCATGAATAATAATACACCAGGAGCAAATATCTAGCTGAAGGCACCCAAAAAAACAAAGCTGCTCTTTAGCTCCAGGTATATTAATGGCAAGAGAAGCAGGAAACAGGTGCTGAGAACACAAAGCACGTGGAGCAGAACAGTTTTCTAAGGGCTTGACGGCGGCGGGCTCTGTATGTGCATGAAGTTCACTAATGCCAGACACAGCTAGATCAATCAAACTCGACGGACTAAACAATGCTGCTGTCGTGAGGTTTGATCTCGCGGTGGCTGCTGGCATCGTGCCAATGAAAAGCCTGTAAGAGGAGCTCAAATAAACGGTTTGCACATTATAACGTTACTCCAATCCGACCAGCTCGTCGTATGACTTTAATGCATCGACTGTTTTGGTTACAGACAATACAGGCAGTTTGACGAAAACAGCAACAGTTTGCCGTGTTAAATGTATACGTGTTATTGTGCTTAGTGTTAAAGAAATGGCGCAGTCGATGAGGCACCTGAAATGAACCAGGAACCGTTTAAGGTGGACATTTGCGTACTCAGATGGACACTAAAAGAATCCATTCGGGACCTGAGCATCTTTAAACCACCAAATTCTCACCACCACCACCCCCTTTCGTTATTCACGAGTTCCGCGTTTACCTCCATCTCTCTCACACTCACACACACTCTCTCACACACACTCACACACACACACACACACACACACTCTCTTTCCGGGGAGAATGATTTGCTTCCACCAGTCTTTGTTTAAATTGCCGCACGCATTTATCAAAGCCCAAATAAGAGCAAAACTAACATACAGCATGGACAGACAAACTCACCCCCATTGTGCAGATTTTATACGACCACCTTGACGCGACTACTGCACTCTAAAATGCTTTAAAGTTAGAGATCTGAAGATGAGATGTGGTCTGTGGTAAAGAATGTTAAAAATGCTAACGAGCGAGCTAGTCTGCAGTAACACAAGAGCTCGAGAGCTCGTAGCTTCAAGAACAAGTATCTATAAAGCAACTAGCGACTGCTGTTCGCTCTTATTTTTTTCCAGCCAGATTCGCGCCAAGAAGCGGGGACGAAATTTTCGCGCTCTACTCTCCCTTTCTTGATCTCCTTCTCCTTTCCTCCCTCCCTCTCTTCACTCTTTCTTTCCCTCTCAGCAGCATTAGGCATTAGCCGCTGAGTCTCGGGGAAATGACGACATAGGGTTGGGGTTAAGGGTCAAGCTCTCTCCACATGCTTCCTCACGTTGAGGGTACTTTGACACCTAGAGCCATTAAGATACATCTATGTAAATGACAAGTAATTGATACTAAATGCAGTTTTCTTTGAGTTTCTGGTTTCCTTCTGCAACCTGAATTTCTAACATTATTTCAAAAATTGGGGGATAAAGGATACTGTCAAAATAAAGTTTAATTACTTAAAATACGATGTAATCAAAAATGTAATTTTAATTTAAGTTTAATACTGTGAATACATATTACATGAAAAAGTTGTGTGTGTATTTTTTTTTTTATAATATTTTGCTTTATTTTCTATCACACCAGGAAGAATAAGATGTAGATCTTCAAAAAGGACAGTGCATGTCTTCACTGTCTTGAGCTGTATGTTAGCTAGTGAATAATTTTTCAAGTATAATTTTTCCAATAAAGTTTTTTTTCATTTTGTAATAAAAAAAAAAAAAATCCAAACTGTCTTACGAACATATAAAAGAAAACTATGAATCCTTGTTTGTGATGTTTTATTGTGTTAGTGTTAGTTGCTTCTTTGTGTGTATTATGTGCAAAGGACAGTATAACAATGCAACATGAAATGAAACATAGGGTTAAGTGTGATGAGTTTTTTTGAGGCATTTGTGAAATTAATGAATTTATTAATTTCATTAATGAAATTCTGAATTTCTATTAACTGTTTAGTGTTTATTGGCTGTTTTTTTTATGGGCAGAGTTTTTACAGCATTAAGCCTGAGGAGACAACTAGACACTGTGATTTAATATATAATTATGCATAATTTATTCTTAATTGTAACAAATGGAATCGTAAAGAACCAATAGAATGGTAAAAAAAGGAATACAGATGTTCATATTAATAACTACAATTCCAAATTATGTGCACAATTTTCCCTAGGTACAAATTGAGCCCATCAGGAACATGACAAAATGCTTTGTATCATATTTTTATGTAAATATTGAATGAATTCAATCCTCTTTAAATTAATTTTAATGGAGATTTCTGTTTAGGTGAATGACCACTTTTAAATGATCCAGGGAATGAAATATTATCTGAGGCCTAGAATGTCCCTGTCCTGCAGTACCTCTTTTGTCCACGAGGGAGCACTAGTTGACAATACAGGACAGCGACTTAAGTTGCTACTGTGTATGAACAGCTACTGTGTCGCCACAGTGGATAATGATCGAATGGTTTGAACTGCATCGAGTGCGCATCTAAATGCCAGTGGTACTTAATTGCAGTACGTCGAAGGTTGAACCTCACATCTAGGATGGTTTTGAGAGAACCCCTTCTGACCCTTATAAAGAAGGCACAGCCATAACTTAAAGGGTCTATCCATGTGTTGAATGCAACGAACGCTGCATATTCTTGACCACGCCCCTCCCGCAGATGTCACGTCACGAAGCCCCGCCCCAAACCTTTTGTATCCCGCGACGGGGAGAGATGGCATTTTCAGAAGGGGAAACAAGGGTGGGGGGGTCAGAGAGTTCACCGCTGTTAAAATCTCCACTTCCGCTGCACCGCAACTCATACTGAACCTCGATACATGTTCTTTAACTAAGACGGAGTGATTATAACGGTTACAGTGTTTATAAATAAACAAAACCCGACCTAAAAGGCCATGCAAATCTAGCACGAGAACAATAGGTTGTGCCATCCATGTTAGTGCTGAGCGTCCGTGGAAAACATAGGGAACGAGCCCAACCTCACCTTCAGGCCTGTGGTTGCGAGCAGAAATTATTAGTACTGGAAATCTCTTTCTCTGCCTAGTGTGCATGTGCGGGTGGTGGTGGTGGGGGTGCAAGAAGAGGAGGAATAGAGAGAGGGGGAGGGTAGGAGAGGAACTCAGAGGTGATGAGGATGGAGGAAGTCCAACAGAGAGGAAGAGGAGAGAGAGAGAATCGAGAAAGGAGAGACCATCATAAAGGGACAACTAAGGTGAGTTAGAGAAAATGGAGATGGTTCTTTTGCACAGTAACGTTACTGGCAAAATGGCATGAAGGAGGGGAGGGAGGATATGGTTGGAGAGAGAAGCACATAGACAGAGAGGGGATGGCTGGGAGGGGTCTTGTGCCACAAGTGCTGGTAACGTTATGCCTGTCTCTGTTCTTGTCTGCAAGGACCACAGAGAAATAATATCAATATATACGGGTGTTCAAGGGAGGACCTGTCCATCACTTGGGCCTGCTGGTACATAGTGTCAGGAGGGGGTGTTGGAGACCAGCCTGAATCCAGTCTTTAATCCTTTTATGTCCGTATTAGAATTGTGTCTAGATATCAAGTTTATTCTCACCTGTAATACCTCCAGGTTATGTTTAATTAATGTAGACTAGAAACCATGGCTTACACAGTGTGAATGTATTGATTTCTTAAAGACTCAATCACAGTGTGGTAAAAGAAATATAGCTGAAGCCTAATTCACGACATCCATCATAAAATGCTCATTATTGAGGTAAATAAGCAAGTTCCAGTCTTTTTTCTTTCCTGCATACATAAGTGAAGGGTCTGGGCAGCCTCAGCACTGCATTGCATAGCTGACGAATTCATCCGCACACACAGCAGGAAGTAGTTCCGTATGATTTAATGTGGGAGCACCGCAGGTAAAGCACAAAGTAATGGATCGGTATTAAGTTCGTTTTACGAAGAGAGTTGTACGGGATGCTCTAAATACGTATAAATATATGTTTAAATCTAAATATAGGCTAAATTAACGCATGGATAACGGCTTTTAGGACGGGAGGGGTTCATTTAACGTTTTTGTTTATAATATTGCCCATATGTGAACTGTGAGAGTTCGCTTGACTCACATGAGACGAGACTTTACAATGTCAGAATCACTTGCTATGAATTTGATGCCGGTTAAAGGGACTATGTAATTGACATGGAAGTTAGTTGGGGAGAGGCGAACAGCGCGGAAGGTTTTCTCGGTTGTGAGGAGTTCTCGGGTCTCCCCCGGCACATACACACGGATAGGATCCCTATGCGGCCGATGCAATGAACTGGAGAGAATGAGAAACGTGCGAATATCCACAGAAGCGTTAATGTAGTTGTATATTAACAAACGTGCGCAGTGCTGATGTTTTACAACACTTATCTGTCGCTTTATAAGTTTGAATAGGAGAGAAAGCAAGCCAGGTTAGTGAGCTGCTATTCGGACTGGTAACTAACGTTAAAAGGCAAATGTTCAGCGACAGCTAGCCAACAACTGGAATAGGGACATAAGCGTGGCTCTACACAAAAGGACTCAGACTTGAGTGAACGACTGTGCGAAAAGTGAGGTGAGGGGAAAGATGCCTTTTTTCTGTTTATGTACTTTTTAAGTTTAAATGATGAATTATGATTGCCCGAGCGAGATCCGTGCGCGTTTACTCACAGAAATGTTTAAATGAACAAGGAACGGATGATTGGATGGTGGTCGGAGTGATGCGACCTCTCGGAGTTTAAGGGGGCAATCGATAACTGTTTTCAGCTGAAACACTGTTAAGAGTTGATTGGGCACTTTGTTAAGCGAAGGACAGTTCAGTGCCACATATTGAGTGTTTTGGACGCATCTGAAGCGCACGTTTAATTCGCACTGAGCCCGACTGCAACTTCAGTCAATAGAGACACTGGTCGTGACGTCACGTGCCCTATTCAACGCTTCATTTTAGGACACACAACGATTTTTAAAATTATTTTTACGTATAAAGAACAAATATCTAATCTTATTTTAGATTTTGATGAAGCGTTATAAAAAATAATCCATTATGCGGGATTCATTTTGTAACCAGTTTTATCTCGCAAATGCATCTTTTGTGTCCATACATCTAGATCAGAAACATTTTATTTTTATGTTTGTGTAGTTGTGTTGTATGTTCAAAATCACAATTCAGGCAGCCTCTCGAGTTATTATTAACGAAAATAGCGAGAGGTACAGTTTGGTGGTTGGCGATCACAATGGCAGTAGCTTAAGAAATGAAGGCTTTGGTCATTGTTTCGTTTTCTAAAGGATGGTATCTGTTGTTCTGGGTTGTGAAGTGATAAAAGTCAGCTCTACTGTTCACTCCGGACATCCTTAGTTTTCTGGAAGCATTCGCGAAACAAAGACTTCTTGTCCACCGAATAAAAGTCTCATTTATTGGCGTTGAAAATGAAAGTTATCTAAATTCGTTACAAATTTAGAAACATTACACTAATGCGTATATCCCGGGCTTTGTGGTTTGATACCTCAGTAAACTCCATCACCTGCTGCTGAAAACACAACCAAGAGCATTTAAACCTCCACAACTTCCACTGTCTCTTGTGCCGAACCTCATTTCCATGCACATATATTTCAACTAAATTGTATTAATTTGAGGTTAGTTTTCTCACCACATTTCATAACAGACTGCGGCTGTTCAGAGAAAGAAAAGATGTGTATATAATGTAAATAATGTTGCTTGAGGAAGTCGATAAAGATTCAGAAAACAAAGATTTGTCACTATACTGTAAATGTGAAAAGATACTTGAGGCATCATTTGGGGTTCTCCGACTGAACCCTTTAGAAAACCTCAAAAAATAATATGGGTCAATGAGTTAATTTGCATCATACACATAAGAATGTATTTTGAAAAATGTTCCTCTTGTGTCCATTCAATGAGTTATTGGGGCTCAGTGTTTGCGTTGGACCCCACTGGCTTTCATTGTATGGGCAAAAACAGTTGAAACATTCTCCAAAATATGTGTTGTATTCCACAGAAGAAAGATAAACAGATTTGGAATGACATGAGGGTGTGAGCCTGGGAGACTGCTCTGGGTGTGTGTTCACTGTGTGTGTGTTTGTTCACTACTCACTGCTGCATGTGTGTGCACTTGGATGGGTTAAATGCAGAGCACAAATTCCAAGTATGGGACACCATACTTGGCCACACGTCATGTCACTCATGTCAAATGATAGGCTAACACAATTTTCATTTTTGGGTGAACTATCCCTTTAAGATGCTGAAAACAAAGGTCAATGCTGGTCCCTCTGAACACACTCTCTCTCTCTCTCTCTTAGCCATGCCATCAGTGATGGAGCGATCAGGGTCTGGTGTGCTGTCCCGCAGCAGGGCCAAAACAGTCACAAACGGGAACAGCCAGCACTCTGAGGAAGAGAGCAGTGATGAGGAACACACACGTGGTATGTCTGCCACATTCACACACAAACTCCAACTCCAAACCACCATCTGCACCTTCATTCACTTACATGGTAGCACAGTATTAATCTTAAGTTGTTTCATTTAAGTGTAAAATGTTTGAATGTATCAGTGTCTCTATGAGTATTCAGTTAATCATCCCTGTTCTCTTTTCCTCCTCTCCCTCCCTGCACTCACTTTTCTTCCTCTGCCCTCTGTGAGGATGCATTGCCAGTTTCTAACTCTGCCTGCCTGTGTTTTTCCCCTCTCTGACCGTCCTTTTCCCTCTTGCTCTTTTGAAACAGACAGTATGATCCGCGTTGGTGGGGACTACCAGGCACAGATCCCAGAGTTCAAACCAGGTAAAGAGAGAGATGGTTAGTTAATCTCGGAAGAGATGAATATATATATCTGAACTCCATGCAGTTTTCACAGTCTGCATGAGCATGATAAGATAAAGGGCTGTGTGTAGGTGTTTCTGTGTGTACTCAAGTTATGGGGAGTAGAAGAGAACACTGCTTTAGTCTTTGAGTGTATATATATATATATATATATATATAATAAAGAAATGTAGACAAAAGCAGCAGAGAGTCATAGAGCAGTAAAAAAAACAACAAGGTGGTGAGATGAAGTATTTGAGAGAGGCTGCTGTGTTGTGTGACAGACATGTTTCTTCTTTGTGTTGACAGACTGTGCATCCCGCTACAGTGAAAATGACCAGAGGAGCATGCTGGTCTGGTCACCAAATAGCCAAGTGTCCAATGCCATGTGTAAGGAACAATTCTTCACATGTAGAAATGACTAAAACCTTCTGAGAGTCTGGCTCAGGCTATTGATGAGGAGTGCTTTAGCAAAAGAAAAGAAACTACTTCTTTTTAAAGGGAAGCCAGTATAATGCAGTATAATGATGTGATTATTTTTCTCACAATATTGCATTATTTTAGATACTCTCACCTGTTTTCTAGATGCATATCTTCTGCTGATTTAAAGGCATTGATCTAGAAACTACCTTTAAAGTGTGAATCATTTGTGTTGGCCAATAATCAATTTAAAATGTCATGTTAAAAAATTCACATATATAATAATCACAATTTATAATATAATCACATTATAAATCACAATTTATAATGTGCGATATTTAAATGATTTTCTTTATTTGAATATGTGCATATGTGAAACTGAAAGTAGCCCAATTTTGTGGTGTTGTGATATTTTATTAAAGTTACCATACAATATCTGGTAATATAGTTCACGCTTTTGAAGTCTAAAGTAGATTTTATTTTTTATGTAAGTAGGTAGGTGCATTACATAGCCTATTTAAAGAATCTTATAAATGCATAAAACAATACTGAATAGAATTGTTAATCTGATTGTATCACGTATCAAATCCAATTGATTCTTTATGAAATGGCAAAAAAAAAAGAATCACATTTGAATCAAATTGAAACCCACTGAATTATTATTTTGAATTGATTCACTGTCAATCCAAAGATGCACAGCTGTTTTATTTATATGCATTTGCATTATTTATTTTCTATTATGTTATTGTGATGCCTCGTAGCTTATTGAATCATGGTTATTTGTATTCTGTTGTGAGGTGGTTAGTAATACCCATACCTTTGTACACTGTTACCAAATCTGCCATGGTGGATTGTAAAGAAACTGCATTTTCCATTCTCTCACTCTCAGTGGATGAATATATTCTGATGGCCAAAGAGAAGCACGGCTACAACATGGAACAGGTACCATTTCATTTAAATATTAGGCATGAATGGCAGATCTTCTAGATGGATGCATAGGTCACTGATGGAGTCCTTCTGTCTTATATCAACAGGCTCTTGGCATGCTTCTGTGGCACAAGCATGATGTGGAGAAGTCACTAGCTGACCTAGCAAACTTCACTCCCTTTCCTGATGAGTGGACACTGGAAGACAAAGTTCTGTTCGAACAGGCTTTCAGCTTTCATGGCAAGAGCTTCCATCGCATCCAACAGATGGTGAGCGGGAGGGATGGAGGCAAGATGGGTTATATAAGAGTCATCTGGCGCTCTCACATCTGCCTGCAACTACAGAAGAGCAGGCATCTTGAGATACGGCCCAGTGTAGAATCACACGTCCATGAATCACACGAGAGTCAGAGAGAGGTCTCGCTACTCGTCGACACTTTGAACTGTTGTCTTGCTGTCATCCATTACAACATGGAAATGATTTGAGAATGTTTCAAAGAGCATCTCATGCTTCAGTGGAAGCAAGAACATCTGACCTTTTGTATAAAGACGTTCAAATGCTCAAAGTCACAAATTTGATACAGGACATCTTGTTCTTTTTCGCTGTATATGCTTAGTCTTAACCATCTGTTATTTTATTTCTCAGCTTCCAGACAAACTAATCTCAAGCCTGGTGAAATACTACTACTCTTGGAAGAAAACCAGAACCCGGACCAGCGTCATGGACCGCCAAGCACGCAAGCTCCTTAGCAAGAGAGAAAAGGATGAAAGGTACAAGGAGAGCAAAAGAGAGAAAGATGGAGAGAAAAGACAATGAATCATAACAAAGTGTGTATTTTTGTTTCTGCCAGTAACGATGAGATGGAGGGAGGAGATCCAGGCAGTGACAGTGATTTTGAGATCAACGGCAAGAAAGAGGTGAGTCTATGGTGTAAGAAAAACTATTCAATACAGTATTTTGTTTGTTCTTTAATAATAATTATATTACAGATTTTAAATCCATATTAATTTAGAGACTAAGTAGAATATTAGTAGTTCTAAAAAAATCAGCGGTCAGGGACTAGTGATGGCAAAAAGGTGTTTAAAAAAATGATGACATTTTTTGACAACATTTATATGAATTTTAATCTAAAATCTTAATCTTAAAAAAAAAAAAAAGACTGCATTTACACTGCATTTGTGCAACTTTTCAGACAACGAAGCAGAACTCTGGGAATGTAGGAGGGAGTGATAAAGGTTCAAGCAAGTCTGGTCCGACTCGGAAAGAGAACCAGGGTGCGCAGTACCGACACCACCTTCTTCGGGCTCGCCGCAGACCTCCGAAAGGCATGCACTTGGAAAAGGAGGACATTGTTGCTCTCTCAGTGTCCACTGATTCAGGAGCTGTTAGTCTCAGACAGCTGGACACACAGCTAGTGTCTCTGAAAAGACAGGTAATGGGCCACACAACAAATCACATTGTTTTTGGTAGTGTTTGTAAATCTGAGAGACTCACAAGTAAATACACAATAGAAGGGTTTGTGTGCTACGCAACTGTTCAAAAGTTTGGAGTCGTTAAAGGGTTAGTTAACCCAAAAATGAAAATTCTGTTATTAATTACTCACCCTCGTGTTGTTTCAAACCCATAAGACCTTCGTTCATCTTCGGAACACAGTTTAAGATATCATTTAAGATGATGAAATCTGAGGGCTTTCTGACCCTCCCATAGTATGATAGATAATGACGTCATCGCGCCGGATCTGGGTCAGCGCCGGCGCCGCCAAACGCTCGCGTCATGGTACTGTCGTGAACGCGCCTCCAAAGTGACGCAGTAGAGACGAAAATGTGGAATAAAGTTGTTATTTTTGTTTTCTTTGCGCAAAAAAGTATTCTCGTAGCTTCGTAATTTTACAGTTGAACCACTGATGTCACATGGACTACTTTGTCGATCATCTTGGTACTTTTCTGGACCTTGAACGTGGTAGTTACCTTGCTGTCTATGGGAGGGTCAGAGAGCCCTCAGATTTCATCAAAAATATCTTAAATTGTGTTCCGAAGATGAACAAAGGTTTTACGGGTTTCGAACAACACGAGGGTGAGTAAATTAATGACAGAATTTAAATTTTTGGGTGAACTAACCCTTTAAAGTTTTGTTTTTTTTGCTTGTATTCTGCAAGGATTAATCAAATTGATCAAAAGTGACACATTTTTATTTAAAAAAACAAATGCTGTTTCTTTAAACACTCTATTGATCAAATAACCCTGAAAAATGTATTTCTACAAGAATATTGAGCAGCACAGCTGTTTTCAAAATTGATAATAATAAATGTTTCTTGAGCACCAGATCAGCAAATTAAAGTGATTTTTGAAGGATCATGTGACACTGAAGACTGGAATAAAAATTCAGCTTTGCCATTACAGAAATAAATTGCATTTTAAAACATATTAAAATAGAAAACTGTTCATTTAAATTTTAATAATATTTCACAATATTATAGTTTTTTTTCTGTATTTCTGAACAAATTAATGCAGCCTGGGTGAGACTAATTTAAAAAAAAAATTATAGACCCCAAAACTTTTAAATGGAAGTTTAACTACACAACAATCACCGCTTAGAACAATTTTGCATCTCTATTTTGTTTTTAGGTTCAAAGTATCAAGCAAACCAACAGTGTTCTCAAGCACAACTTGGGTGATGGAATTGAAGGCTTGAGACCATCAGAGGTACGTTTCTACCCGCATTGCTCTGATGTACAACCTACACACCTGGCATACATGTGAAAGTTAAAAAGCAAGGCATGTTATTAAATGCCATTTAATGTATTTTGACAGTTTGAATGTATGGGCTCTGTTACTGAGATACTGATAAAGCCTGATTGCATAATATTTTGAAAGTATACGTTTTTTTTTTCTCTAAGAGTTTGCTAAACCTGTAAGTAGATTCTGGGCAAAATGCCATTGTTATGCTACATTATAATTTTTCTCCCTGTGCTGCATTTCGTTCAGCCCACCCAAAAAAACAACTCTCGCTGGACAACAGAGGAGCAACTCCTGGCTGTTCAAGGTGAGCTGGATTATCATTCTCTCTAATTCCTGATAATCCATAAAGTTCAGAACAGATCTCAAAATGAATATCCATACACATTATAATAGTATGATCCCTAAATACACATGTAGCATTTAAACCCAATGGTTTTAGTTTTGAGTGTTTTCAGTGTTTATACAAAATAGCATAGAACTTTAATATCGGCTAATTATTGGTTATCAGCCAGAGCTGTAATATCATGCATCCCTAGTTAAAGCTTGTATAAAAAAATTATACTTCTATAATGCCAGGTTGATCTTCCCAGAACTAAAGAACCCAAAAAGATCACTTGTTTACTTGCATACAAGTTGATAACAGCAAATAGCAGCTAAATGATCCAGCTAACCAATGAGTTAACATGCTAAAATGTATGGTACAACGAATACATGTCCTAAAAATAGTTTCAAGCAAAATTAGTGAGCATCTAGTCACCAATTTGTAGCCTTTTATGACACTGGGAGATTGTTTTAACCTTGCAGTGATTGAAGTCACCAAGAAATCAAAATGGAGAATTCGTATTTTTTATAGAATATTGCAGTATTTATGATAAATTATTTATCTGTGCACAGTTTCCGGTTCATGCTGATTTCACGAAATGTCATTATGCGAGTATATTCAGAGCAATACAAAGGGAATTTCTATCATATACCTTGTTTCAAAGCAAGATGTCTACTAGATACTACAGACTGAATTCATGAGAATATAATTTTGGTTGATTATTCTTGTTTAATTTTAAGCATCGCTGAGCAGTTTTATCATGTAGCCATTTTGTCATCCACATCCTCTCCAGCTGTCAGGCGATATGGTAAAGACTTTGCAGCCGTAGCGGACGTGATTGGCAACAAGACTGTGGCGCAGGTCAGCTCATTCTTTGTCAGCTACCGGAGACGCTTCAATCTTGAGGAGGTGCTCCGTGAATGGCAGGCAGAACAGGAAGTGGTGCAAGGGAGCAGCGGGAGGACCGTGAACATGGAGCTGAACGGGTTAGCAGGAGCGGAAGACGATGAGGTGAGAGAGAATGAGGAAAAAGACTATTTGAATTTGTCAAGGCCTTGTTCCAGCAGGCAGGGCTTTACCTTAGAGATAAAAAAAATCAGTTAACAACAACTGAGGAACTCACTTTCTCCTTTGCATCTTTCTTTGTTATTACAGGTGAAGATGGATGGCATCTCTCTACCTCATTCTGACAGTCCTCTGTCCTCTTCTGATGTTAGTGTGACTGAGAACTCCAACTCTGCCCAGTCCTCCCCACCCCTCACTCAACCTCCACCCTTACTGCGCCCTGCACCCCCCTCAGCACCCCCTAGCCTGCTGCGCCAGCCTCCCCCGCTACAGACGCGACCTCTACAAAACCGGACGCCCCACAATCACCCTCCCCCTCCGCTCATCAGACCCGCAGTGGCGTCCTCGCTCCACCAGGGGGCGCTGAGGAACTCTCTAAGTTCCTCCTCTGCCTCTGCTGGACAGCTGCCACCCTCACTGGTGGGGCTGAAGGTGGAATCCCCGCAGTCACACTGATCGCCATGCAGTATTTGCCCTTTTATAATGGTTTAAGACACTCAAATAGTCATTTAACAGAGAATTTGTTCTCAAGTCAGTATAAAGGGGCAGTGTGTAGTAATGCCTCTCAAGAGATAGGGGGGAAAAAACCGAGGTGAACTGGAAGCAAAGCTGGACATGCACCAAAACACACGGAAGGATGAAACTATACAGTCTGATCCAAGGAGAACCCTCCATATTCATGCATGTAAACCACAATCTTGCCAAAAAAACAAACCCTACTGCCCCACCAACCCATCTGTCCTCAGGTTCTACAGCTTTACCTCGTGAACAGTCTCAAGCACAACAGCTTCCACTGTAATTACAGCTATTGAATCACCTTCTGTCATAGATACTCAGTGGAAGTTTAACCAAAATTATGGGTTAAAAACCTTATACACTGGAATTAAAAACTGCCACGACGACATTCCTTCCACCATCTCTATGGCAACAGCTGCATATCACCTAGTGTGCATGACTACAGGCACTAGCGAGTGTTCTGAAGTGCACCTGGTGTCAGGAAACTGGGAAATTGTGTATAGTCACTCTCCCAGTGAAGAGCCATGTTGATAGAATCTTACTGGGTGAAGCAGTTTTTGTTGTTTGTATAATTATGTCCTTAAGATATTGTTAGGTAGTGAATTTATGTAGTACTAGTTAATATTGACTAAGCACTAAGTGATGCAAAATACTTGATTGTTTTTCGTTGCAACTTGGAATACACTGATTTCATCTCGTTCTTAAAGGAACAGACACAGAGGCATCAAAACACTAAAGATGATTCCTGAGGAAGCTCGTGCAAGAGTTCTCGTTTCTTTCAAAATGTTGTATGTATGTGAGAACTGTTTACATGTGACCTGGATTTGCTTGTGACTATTTTTGTTTTAGATTTTTTTTCAAAATAAAATGAAAAATTACCAAATTAGTTTGTTGTTATTCTGCAGATATTTTACATGCAAGACACTTACTAGACCCTACCAGTAGGTAATACAGTATGTTTGAAATATGTCCCAACCAGGGGCCTGTACCATGATGGTAGTTAAAGGATTAGAGGATTCGTTTTGTGTTGGCAAAACCAAACCAGTGCACTCAGGCTTTACTGGCATCATGATGACGATGATCAATTTTTTTCTGTCAACTCAGGCTTGGATCGTGAGTTTATGGAGCATGTGCACACAAAAGCATGATATCAGTAACAAATAGCCAATCACAGTCACAGAAAATCTGCGGTTCGCGTCTCGTGAGAGAGACAGTCATTCACTTTTCTGCCAAAGATAAATACAAATATAAACAGATTAGATATAAACAATTTAATCTAATTTACACAGCAAGAAGAAAAGAGCTGTCCATGAAATAGGACAACTAAAAGAATACGTACAAGTGAAAGTTGTGAAGTTCTTAGTATATATATATATATATAGTGGTCAGAATTGTTGGTACCCTTGGTAAATATGATCAAAGAAGGCTGTGAAAATAAATCTGCATTGTTAATCCTTTTGATCTTTTATTTAAAAAAATCATAAGAATTTAAAATGGGGGGAAATGACTCTCCAAGGACCACAGCTGGAGAATTGCAGAAAAAGGATGAGTTTCGGGGTCAGAAAACCTTAAAATAAATGATCAAACAGCACTACACCACATGTTGTTTGGGAGGGTTTCAAGAAAAAAAATCAAGAAAAGAAAATGCTTTCACCAAAAAACAATCCCCAGCATATTCTTCATAATGATATTTCCCCCCCATTTTAAATTCTTATTCTCAATGAAAGGTAAAATTTTTGTGAATTTTTTAAATAAAAGATCAAAAAGATTAAAAATGCAGATTTATTTTCATAGCCTTCTTTGATCATATTTTCATATAAGGGTACCAACAATTCTGACCACGTGTGTATATACATATATTCATACATATAGGTATACAGAGAATTGTAAGGTCACGTGTAGTTTATTTATTGATTCTAAATCAATTTATATTACATATTACCTGTATATATGTATATTAATTTAAACTAAATGCTTAATCATTAAACTAAAATTGCTCACGTCATGGATTTAGGGTATAATTATTATATGAATAACACATACATCATATAGTAATTCAGATATCATAAGTAATTATAATAAATAATCATCACTAAAAGCCAGACAATTTGTCTTTAAAATCTTTTGCTTTGTACTGACCTTTAATTTGGAGAACCGGGGGTGTGACTTTACTGTGTCAGGAATGTGTTACTTTGCTCACTGCTGATTGGTCCGGTTTGAGATCTCTTATCCAGAACACAATCTGCACCGAAGCCATGGAGCGTAAGTTACTAATGGTGATGAACACCTCTAACAGTCAAGCCACTTTTATGGTGCCTTAAACCATGGACGTGGTTTGGCGCAAACTAAACTGAAACTTACCTGACTAGCCAGCTAAACTGGCTTCATGGTAAAGGCCCCAGATGTTATGAAAATCGAAATTAGAATTCGGAAACAAGTGACTAACACGATGTTGGTTTAGACATACACATGAGAGTTTTGTGTGTTGAGTGTTTTCAGGTGTGGTGTTAGTAACTTGCAGAGTTAGAAATACGAGATGTCAGTCAGGTTTTTAGCTGCAGTTACTGTGTTCCTCCGGAGCTGCTTCCGCCAGTTTTGTGGTCTGCGCATGACTCAGACTGTTCACTCCTCTTCTCAAGTATAAGTAAAAGCTGCTGTCGGATCCCTTTTGAACGGTCTTACCTGTTGCATTGCTGACGCTTATGGGGATACTCCTGTTTACTCTGATATTGAAGCCTGATTTGTTCACGTTTGTGTAACTGCATGAACCAATGGCGCTTTAAGCCTCCAAAAGGGGAGTAGCCGACAGATATTGAAGTCGGCTCTAAGCGCCATTTCTTCAGAATTTTTCTCCTTCAATGACAAAGATCATCTCCTCTCTGTCTCTGCAAGCAAGAAGCTGAAGAAGCAGCTCAGCGTGCTGCTTGCCTCCGTAGGAGGAGGCAAATTTGCAAAGTGTTTCACTGCAGCACAGAAGTCGTCGCAGGTCATGCGCCACTTCCTGCCCAAGCGCTTCAGCCCCATAGAATGAGGTTACTCGCTCCAGTTCGCACGCAGGCTACCTCGCTTCAGAGACATTATTCAAACTTCAGTACAGGACAACAATGCTCACGTTCTCCGGTCTGAAGTGCAAACTCTGCTTGCAGAAGGAACCTTCCTCTAGCGAACAGCAAGTCAGGCTTTTACAGCCGCTATTTCTTGTTCCCAAGAAAAATGGGACTTTACGAAGTGCACGGCTGCAGCTCTTTCCCCTCCGAGACAGATGGGAATCCACATTATTAATTACCTAGACGATTGGCTGGTCTTAGCCAGATCGGAACAGGAACTCATCGATCACAGGTCTCTGCTGCTCAGCCACCTGGAGTGGCTTGGGCTAATAAATATTTTAGCCAAGAGCTCTCTATCTCCAAGCGAGTAGTCTTCCCTGGGACAATTATCGATTCTGCCCAAATGCGGGCATGAATTATGTCAGAATGCTGCCTGACTGTTCAGTGGCTAGCGGCGTCATTCAAACTGGGGACCTCATGTCCCCTCTGGGCTTTCCAGAGGATGCCCGGCCCTTATGTCAGCCGCTTCCTCTGTGATTCGACTGGGCCTGCTTCACATTCGGCCCCTCCAGTTTTGGCTCAAAGCCCATGTCCCGTGACACCTGGGACATTTTTATCTTAAGGTAACCCACCGCTGCATCAGAGCGGTGGCCCCTTGGAAAACTCCTCGCCTGTTTCCATCAGGCATCCCGTTGGGACTGACCTCCATGAGGAAGGTGGTCACGACAGATGCCTCCAACTCAGGTTGGGGAGCTCTGTACGATGGCAGACCAGCGTTTGGCTCCTGGTCAAACCTGGAGCAACGCTTACACATCGACTGCCTCAAGGATTTTTCTAGCCCTAAAAACCTTCCGGCCTATGGGGGCACCACGTCCAGGTCCATTCAAACAACATGACTGTGGTAGCCTTTATCAATCACCAAGCGGCCAAGGTCACGCTCCCTTCACAGGTTTGCTTGACGCCTAAGGGCAAAAGACAAACTCCTCTCGCTGAGAGCAGTTCATGTGCTGGGCAGACTGAACCAAGGGGCAGACATGCTGTCCAGGTATAATGTGGCTCCAGGAGAAGGGAGACTACATCCCCAAACAGTTCAAATGATCTGATCTGTCTTCGGCTTGGCAGAGGTGGACTGCCCAATTAATTTTTCGAAGCAGCGAGATGCCTTGGCCCACGATTGTCCCAGTGCTTGCTTGTATGCCTTCCCCCCGGTTGGAGGAATCAGATTTGGTTCCCAGAGTTGATTCAGCTGCAATCGGCAGCCACTTGGCCGATACCACTGAGGAAGGACCTTCTCTCGCAAGCAAAGGGCATGATTTGGCATCCCCGGCCAGAGCTGTGGAGCCTCCATCGTGCAACGTATCCTATGTGCTAACCTTTTTACAAGAGCTGCTGGACAAGGGGCACACCCCTTCCACGCTCAAACTATATGTGGCAGCCATCATGGCGAATCATTCATTCGTGGGTGGCCTGTCAGTTGTTAGAAACGACCTAGTCGTTAAGTTTCTGAGGGGAGCTCGGAGATTGAATCCGCCTCGCCCTCATACTGTGCTGACTTGGGACTTATTTATAGTCCTCAAGACAAAAAGGGGCCCTAACTTTGAGTCGCTCCAGTGACGTTCAGTGACGCAGGTAGTGACGATTCTCTGTGGCCAATCAGTGATCAGCAGAGTTTACACGTCACGTTTTGGTAACGGTACGATTCACTTGGAACCTCAGCCGAAGTGGTACTAAAAAAAGTACCAGGTAGCAGGTACTGTACCCAGTGGAAAACCCCCTGAAAGTGACCATACTGTGCCGTACCATGCAGTGGAAAAGCGCCATTAGAGTGTATGTTGAGCGCTCTGGCCCGTTTAGGCACTCAGAGCAGCTCTTTGTATGCTTTGGAGGCCGTTCTAAAAGGCTGCCGGTTACAAAGCAGAGACTCACTGGACAGTTGATGCTATAGCCCTGGCTTACATCTCAGCGGGCTTGCAGTGTCCTATAGGTGTGTGAGCCCACTCCACCAGAGATATGGCCTCCTCCGGGGCGTGGTCCAGCGGGATTTCTATTGGTGATATT